AACCGTACTAATAGCTCTCACGACGTTGCATTAATACACATTTAAAAAAAATTGATATTTTTAATTGATTGGAAGACCCTTATACTCCAAAATTTGATAGTACCCCAGTTAAAGCTGTTGTAACGGAAGCCCAGGCCGAGATATCACCGTCTAATAACGCCTTGTGTGAGTTCCTTAAAGGAAGAACACGACAAGAAGTGTCCAACGGCTGGAGTCTTTTAGTGTAAGAAGTGCAACATATTTAGGAGAATAAACGTGTGTAAACGATGTCCCTTGAGTCAATCAGCTTTCTTTCTCAGTTCACCACCGGTGCGATTGGCTGGTAACTCAGTGACTGGACATAGCTGGAAATTCAAATTATTGATTGATTATTTAGCTCGATGCGTTAGCTCGCATGTAGACCGATCGATAGCCTATTGTGGACGTGGCTACTTGCTGCCTCTATGCTAGCCGTTGCGTTTCTCCTAACAAAAGCTATCCGACAACAGGTGTAGAGCTCAGTAACTTAATTGGTTACTATTATGAGGAGTTTGGCAGCTGGATAGGGCCGTGCCGGTTCGAAATGGATTTAACAGTAAAAGGAGGAAGAGTTGTATGTAGAGGTCTAATACACTAAAATTCTCCTTCAGCTCCTCCTCTTCAACGAAGATTCCGCGCGGTTTCCGAACCGACAAACGAGGAATATGCCTCAGACACCTTGAACCAGAGTCGGTACGAAACGACAATACCCATGATAGAGCCCACCACTTCGAGTGAGCCAGTTGAGGATGCAGCCACTGTGCCAGCCTTTAATGAGCTACTGGATTCTCTCAGAGACAGCGTAGAGTTGAAAGTGAATAAGCGCGGTCCGGAATTGGAGGAATTACCAGTAACAGGGACACCCACTAGTTCTGGTAAGCGGTGCGCATTTCGCTTCTAAAATCTCGTATTTTCCCCCATTTCTGAAGCGAGAGAGACCAACTACTTCTATCTCTTTTGTTTATACAGTTCCCTCCTCTAGTCCGCTGCCGACTACGCAGGCTTCGCCGCCTTCGTCAGCACCTGAAAACTTTACGGAGACCCTGGAAAATCGTAAGGAAACTGAACTACCTACACCTCCTACGAGAGTCAACCAGACCTTCAGTCCAAGCCAGCTGACATTTCGTTGTCATTCTGCCTGTCCCGTCTACAAGAACAAGCGTTACTGTTGGGGAAGTGGAAAGGAACAGTGCCAGTACTGTGAGTTTGCTGAGCGCGCATACGCACACTTTTAATGCCAAAGTATTAAAATAAAACATACTTACTAATAAGAAATAAGTAGACAATTATGCGAAATGAACATGGGTGTGTTGATCCTATAATTATTGACTACAATTGCTACTAAGACGACGTTTATTGCAGTAGCTTAGGCTATAGAAAAACGTTAGCCCGCAATAAGAAAACGAGACGCAAGGCTGAATCAGTCAGAATATGACGTTTTGATGGCTGGATAATAACTTGGCGGAAATTAACGATCGGATGAGAACAGGCGTCGGCCGCCGCGTGTGCAGCTGTCAGAGCCTCTTGAGCAATAGCACTTCCTGTACCGGCCTTGAAGATGATTGGCTGCTTCGAGCGTTCCAGCTTAACCTTCCTAGATCCTTGTCCCCAGCATGAAAGTCGACTACACCGTTTACCTTACGCATGCATGCTTACTTTGTCCTTTAATTCCAAATTACTCCTGCGAATGGTGTCAGCAAACCATATAAAGTCAACTTCATGCTAGTAGCAATCTGAACGCTTTCAAAATGAATATAGCAAGTTCTTCGCCCGTTTCAGTGCATAAATGTCAACAGCGCGAGTGCAATGGCCCAAATCGCTGTTACAGATGTGACCAAGCCGGAATCACTCCACACGTTCTGGCAAAACGCGATTTCTGTGAAGGTTGCTGTCACGAGGAGTGCGCTGGCGGCTGCAACGGATCTCGCGCAAGCGACTGCTTTGTACGTTTTGACAGCGCAGTCAATTGACACAAAACTTTCTACTTAAATGTTATGAGTAACCATTATAGAGTGCACCACAATATAGTCAGCCTACCTTTGTATCGCCTAAGAAGACTGAAAATCAAATGTCGCATGTTGCTGTGGTCCACTGTGGTGCTTAGCTATTTCACAACTGAATGCAAAAATCGTGATTTTGTTCGTGTCTTTTAACAGTTACTCCACTTTGTCCTGCATCTAAAATGTTGTGCCTATAATTATTGATACTTCCTTATATAGCCCTACTAAAAGGAAGAAACAAGAGCAATTAACGGTGTGAAGTAAAGATGCATATCTGCATTGTGCGCGCATTTCATGTTCCCCAAGGGAGGTGAGAGTGGGCATTTAAGGTTTCTTCGCGTACTCCGGGAATGGGGAAGGAGAACATACTAGTTGACTAAGTTGAAATTAACCCCAAATTCATCTCGTTTTCTCCGTGTCGATCCACAGATGAGCACAATTATTGACACAAAACGTTTTACTATAATGTAAAAAGTAACCATTACAGCGTGTTCTACGTACAAGTCGTTCTAGCTGTACATTGCCCACTTGGACGTATAGGGCCAGCAAGAGGACTGCAGAGCAACGGCCCGACTGATGCATACACGAAGGTGATGTTGCACTTCTAGGCGCAGGATTCACGCCGCCCCAGTTGCTGTATCCAATCCCAATAGCAGTCAACCGCCATGCTGGAAAAGCGCACTGGAGTATGAGAGAGAAAAGAGGGTTGGAAACCCGTCTTTAAGACTTATAAACTAATTCCTCACTATAATTGCTCAGACAGGCTAAGATTTAC